CCCTGAAAGTGCTTATTTTTGCTGCCCTTTGCTCATGGAAGCAAGCTTGTACTGCCAGGCATCGTATTAACTACTATTCTAGTATTCAGCTTACATATATTATGATTTTGTTAGTTCAAAATGCACCCTGGGCTGAGCTGTATCAAAGCTGTTAAAATCTCCATGAATCCTCAGAGTCCTGCTGGTTTTGACTAGACACCGTTATAGCTGCCAAAAGTTCAAGGAATTGTCAGGGCTTCAGAGACAGTAGGTCTAGCTGACCTGACCAGGACCCACAATTTTCAAACCAACACAGCTGCATTTTATAATAGTCACCATTTCCAGAGAGGCTGCAGAACTCAGATAATTACCCTGAAAGAAATAAGACAATATTCTTTGATGAGAAGATTACTTTGAGAATTTGATTGTATAATGAAGCTGTTGCTTTGAAAGGTACTTTCTATTGTTCAAAATCTGAAAATCTCTAGCAAAAAGTGTCACTTGTTTTGACAGCCAACTTAAAAAATTCTCTGTTTATTACATTAACTGCAGCATTTTAACTGTCAAACTGTGAAAGAATGTTCTATAGTTTAAAAAACAGAATAGAGCTCTGGGAATTTTTTGGTGGGCTCTTGTTGCTATTGGGTGAGGTTTTTTTTCTTTGGAAACACATACACTGAATGTGAAAATAGCTTTTTGTGAAGTAGCAAACACAGCTCTCTGCTCCTTATAATGCCTGGAGCACAGGTGCAGACCTTGAACAAGTCCCTGGAAAAAATGTTGTAGAATTAACACAGCTCTTTCTTACAAGCGTTTCAATCCTTCAGTATGAAAATACATCCTGGAAACATTTTTCTAGTTGTTTTTATTTTATTTTAATAGTGTTCAGATATAGCTAACTTGATGGTAAACCCTAATTAAATAGGATGCTATAATACAAAGCTAAACACAATAATAACAGAGGTATTTAAAGGGAGAATGATATCCATCAGACAACAGTATTTATGTTATAGTTTATATTCTTTTTTAATACTCCAGGCTACAGTAAGTTAGCAGTATGACTGAAATAATATGTGTTTTATATTCTTGGTGACTTCACTCAGCAAATTTTTTTCTCAGTACAAAGAGTGTTTGGTTCTACATGTGGTCAGTAATCAAATTTTAGTGTCACTTGCAGAAGTAAGCTCAACAGGATGCTAGAGAGAGGAAGCGAAAACAAATCTGAACATGGTAAACAGCACAAAATATATATATAATAAAATAACAATTTAATTGTTACCAAGAATCTATAACTTCTTGGAGGTCTTGTAAAAATTAAGTGAGATATATTTATTCTCTTGTTCTTATAATTTTTTATTTAGGTATTCCAACCAGCTGTTAGTAGTAAGAACCATACTGGATTTGTCCATAGAGACTGTATTAAGTTCCATAGTCCTTGGTGGAGTCTCCTGCCAATTATGTTTAATAAACCAAGTGTTATTCCTGGAACAGGAAATACAGATTATCTTTCCACATATCAGCTCACTGACATTTATGGGTATTACATGTGGTAAATGGTATTTATGGAGTTAACCAAGGAGCACTGATTCAAGTACAAAGATTACGTAATTAGCTTCCATGATAGAACGAGTGAACATGCATTCACTTTCACACTCACAGGTAGTGGGTAAAATTAGTCATACCTCCTATAAATTCTTTATGGTACTTGAAGACAAAATTTGTACTCTGGATATACATGCTTGTTTGATGTATAATCACAATGTTATGGGGTCTCTGATCTTTTCCCTTGCTCTTATTATCTGAGAAGTTTCTGGTTAGCTGTGTAATAGAAATAATCAATGATATTGCATGGTTTGTCAATGGCAAAGTACTATGTTATTGCAAACATCCTAGTCACAGAGAAGCTCAATGTCTCTGACCTTGATAAATTCTCCAAACACTGAACAGTTTTTATTGATCACTTAATGTCACCTGAGTTCTCCTGTCCATTAATGTGTAGCCTTGTTCTCTACCTATTCCATTTATTATCCTGTCTATAACCAGTTACTGCTGTTAGAATGTGTCTCCTGCAGAAACTAGGTCTTTACACAGCAGGATCCTACAAATCAACATCAGTGGGTCACCACACAGGTTTTACAGAAGCAGTGGTGCCTAATATCTCTCCACGTGACATCTGCAGGAGCAGAAGTAAAGACTGGGTACATCCACTGTAGATTGTCAGTCCTCCCAATTTGCTAACACAGGAGACAAATGGACATAGTGAAAGAAGAGAGGACCCTTTTGTCTTGATAGAGATCTCATGTAGTAAGACATCATCCTTTTATATTTTAATTTCATGTTGAAATTTGTTAATTTGTTACGCTATGTTTTCCATTTTCCAAGACATGCTGGTTTTGCAAACATATAATAAAATTAAAGTTGTTACTTCCTATGGGAAGTATTATTTGTTAAAATCCTTACCTTGTGTTTCTTAAATCTCCAATGAAAGGTAGCTACTACTGGCTTAGCTTTATTCTATACCTAATTGAGCTGCTCCTGCCCCGCATAAATCACTAGGAGTGTCTGCCTTATAATTTAAAGCCAGATTTAGAAATAGGAAAGAGTATTTTGAGTCACTAGAGGGCATAGCAGTACCAAAACAGTTTCTGTTTCTCCCTTAACGGTTTATTCCATTCTGTATGAGAAAAGAATAATTTCATCCAAAATGTTTTTTGTCTAAATTGGTCTTTAACCTGGGTAATAATAAATGCATGTCATTGGCAAGTGAAGAACAGGTGAAAAATATAGCTTGCTTAGCAAAGAAGATGTCGGTTGTCCTTATGTTTTCTATGACTTCTTCAGTACTTCTTTCATCCAAAAGAAGTCTCCATCAAACTGCTTTTGCAAAAAGATGCAACATAACTCCAGAGTGACACGATTGCTGGGTACTCCCTCTACCTCACACATGATTTAGACAGACTGTTGAACCAAGAAATGATTAGGCAGAAAACCTGTAGAGCACTGTATTTATATGACTTTCCTTATCCTCTAGATGCTAGAATCTCCTGTAATACTGACATTTTAGGAGGAAAATTTCTATCAGAAAGGTTCATTGTGACATTTCTTTTAGGGCTGTCCAAAGATTCAACTGTGCTGTTAATTCTTTTGACACCACACATTGCAGACAGTGGGGTTTGGAACTGCGCGCTGACCTCTTTGTAATGCCAGCATGTAAACCTCCTCCTTTGAAGCTCCGGCCCCTGGGCTGGACTTCCTGTATCCCATTTCCTCACATCTTAAATTTATCCTCTGTCTCTTCTTATGACTAGGTTGCTATTCTTGGCCCATTGATTTACTTACTTATATTCTGCTTTTCACAAATCTAAAACGTATTGTTTGACAGGACTTAGTTCTATAAAAGTAACTTGGGATAATGCTTTAAAGGATTTTTTTCTCTGTGTGTGTATGCAACTTCAATGCGCTGTCTGAAGTGACATAACAGGAGAATTTGTCCTTTTAGAAAATAAAGTTGTACTAGACACTTTAACTGAAGAGAATCTTGTGAGTGGGAAAAAGATTAGGAGTTACTTACAGGCTCCTACAACTCCTTCTCATGGGTGCTATTTATTAGATCCTCCAAAGCATCTCTGACACACTGCAGTTGTCAGAGTATTTGTGTCCTTTTTTAGCAATCAGAAAATTTTCCAGTGTGTAGACTACAGAAATACAATTATTTCAGTCACAGTAGCAGCCTCATTCCTCGTTGTACTATAGGAGGATTATTCCTTCATCAGTGCATGCTTTTCATTAATGGCAGCTTCTTGTATTTTTCAGTTAGAGAAGTTGAAACTACTGAGTGGTTCTTATTTACTTTTGTGGCTAAACAACAGCACTCACCATTAACTCTATAGCAGTCATTTACTGTCCTCCAAGATGCACTGCTGCCTCTTCCAATTTGTTCAGCAGAAATTCACACGCTCCTTTACAAACCACCACTACTGTTTGTTTGCTACCACTGATTAGTGCCGCATGGGAAAAATAGTGCAGGTCCCACACTCAGGAGTCCTTTTAAAAGGAACAGACCTTTATGTACCATTTCTGATTTATTTGACCATTTTACATATAGAACACTTGATTTCATCAGGAAAGCTGCCTAATCAGGATCTCTCTAAGGTGGTTGCCATGGCTGCTGCTTGGTGTCAGTCAGGTGGTTTCATAGCACTTCCATCCCTGTGTATTTCAGTCCTCCAGCTAGGACCATCATTCAGTCCCTGGTTAGTGAGGATCTACCCTTCAGTAGGTAGTACAACAATATTTTGTGTTGTTTTGTACTTCTCTGAAGCATTTATTTTGGGCATTTATTGCATTTTGCTGTCCTTTTTATCTTCTTTGTATAGGCCTGGCCAGAGAACTGTAGATGACTTAGAAATTATATATGAAGAACTTCTTCACATTAAGGCCTTATCTCATCTTTCTACCACAGTAAGTATTTTTAAAAATATAACTCATCACCAAAAGGGAGGCTGAATTTTGACTTCTGGTGCTTTATTAGAATTGGAGCACCTACAACCCTTTCCATTTATACTTTCCATGCAAAGAAGTTATTCCCACCTTTGAGGACCACCCAAGCACTATGCAGATTTGGGTTGTCTTTTGGATATCAGATATAATTCTGTTCATGTGTTTCTGCACAGCCCGTACCTCACTTGACACAGGTGCCTCCATCTGGGTCCATATCTGAGTTTAAATTAAGATGCATGCAATCTGACTTGACACCTGGGACTGTGGTCCTACTGAATTTTGCAGAATAGATGTCTGATTTCTGAACTATAAGAAGTCTTGGCTTGAACCAGGAGGAGGAATTACACAGTGCAGAAAGGTGTACTGTGCAGTGCTGGCTAGTCGGAGTTTGGTCCTAGAGTGAAGGAAACCTCATCAGACATCTTCTCTCTGAGTGGGCAAGAACAGTGCAGAGAACCAAGAATAAATGAAATTGAGAAAGTGTCTGGAGGAGAGAATGCAACTGTTTAAAGTCTCACCATTGTTGACACACTGTGTAGGCAACTGAAACAAACTAAATAGCACTTTATATAAGAGCAGCAAGATGTGGGTGCTTTCAGAAAAAGGAAGCCTGTCAGAAAGTAGATTTATGTTTGACAATAGCTTCTTTGGAAGCTCTTGATATTTTCAGTAATTCTCAGCTAACGTGGACAGATGCAGCTAATTATGAAGCTGCATTACAGAAAGATAGTACTCTGTGCAAACATATAACGCCTGAGTTTTTAAAAAAGAATATGCATCCAGAGTTGGTAAGTGAACTAAGAAGGAACAGCCAACCAAAATCCTTAAGCATATCTGGGATGTAGGAAAAAAGTGTTTAAAAAAAGATTTCTGTAAGATCCAGAAATGACCCTTTTCAAATCAAACAGAAGAGACTACACAGGATAGACAGATACTGAGAGGAGTGAAGGACAAGAGGGAGTTTAGGACAAGATGAAATTGTCTCAAGTTGCACCAGGGGAGGTTCAGGTTGGATATTAGGAAGAACTTCTTCAATATAAGAGTCGTTAAGCATTGGAACAGGATCCCCAGGGAGGTGGCGGACTCACCATCCCTGAAGGTGTTCAAAAAACGTTTAGATGTGGTGCTTCAAGACATGGTTTAGTGGGTTTAGTGGGCATTGCGGCGTCGGGTAGAAGGTTGGACTTGATGATCTTTGAGGTCTCTATCCCTCTTCTTCTCCAGACTGCAAACATGGAGTGCTTTGTACTGGCTGTCAGGAAAGAGTTCTGGGAGAGGTGCCTGAGCAAACATTTAGTGGGTACCTTTAAGACATCAGAGCCTGAATTTGTCCACCCATCTTAGGAGATGCAGCCACCAGACTCTCATCTGGATTGTGTCCAGAATTTGAGAGTTCCTCCTCAAGTTTTTTTCTTCATGGCCTAAAATTTTTTTCAATTTAAACAGTTGGGAGAATGATGTGAAAATACTACTACTAAACATATGTTGGAGCCAGCTTTTGATCCATGTTTGGCACGGTTAAGTTACATCATAGTACCTCTGAACACGAATTGTCACCAGCTGACATTCTCTGAAAACAAGAATCTCACTGCTTGGAAATTGGCCTCCAAGTCTTGGAGACTTGTGGTTGTATGAAGACAGACATAAAGCACCCAGGAAAACTCAGGATAACATGAGGTTCCCAGTGCTGCTACTATTCTGTGAAAGTAACACTAACAGTGTTTACAGTGACAAAAAGCGGTTGTAAACAGTGTCTCATTAGAGGCAACTGTCCGGTCAGTCATTAGAGCTAGTCACACCAGAGCAATACAAACCTGATGAGGAGCAGGCTGACACTGAGGGCACCGTCATGTTCTCCAGTTCCTGGCAGAGGTAGTGAGCTGGACATTTTTCCTGGGAAGGTGTCAGGCAGAGAGAGACCTCAGCAGATCCAGATGGCTGTGCCTCACAGCTCAACACAGCAGAAGTGGCCAGGCTTACGTCAGTAAGGGGAAAGGTAGTGATTTCTCAAGGAAGAACCGGAGTACTACAGAGCCCCATGGAGTAATTGACAATTGCTAGCTATCTTCTGTTATAGATTAGCTACTACCATTTGAAATTTTCCATCATGTTAATGTTAGTTACTAATGATGGTTTCACACGTGTGTGTATGAAGAAAGATGTGGAGACCAGTATCTTAAAGATGCCTTTGTTGGAGCCATTTGGAGCCAGGAAATGTAAAGGCTCATGCTCTGTAAAGCCAATCAGTAGGAAATAGGACATCAAGTGAAGCAGACCATTGTCTGGCTGTGTGACTCTTGAATGAGTGCTGAATGATGCAGAGGGAAGGAAAGCAGTGACTGGGGTATATTATGTGACTTCTCACCAGGAAGAATGAGATACATGTAAAAACTATTAATTTCTCTCTCTTTATTTTAAGGTAAAGCGAGAATTAGCAGGTGTCCTCATTTTTGAGTCACATCCCAAAGCAGGAACGGTCTGTAAGTAAATGGAGTCCTGTCAGATCTCCTTTCTCATCTGTGGCATGGATATTTAAATTCTTAATGTTTAAATGACAAGAGCAAAACTCAGATGCACTCTTCAAACTTGACTGGCACTCAGTATTTAAAACCTGGGGTAATAGGTGTTGGCTTATTCTGTTGCCAATTGTGGGGACAGTACCAAAATTAATTCTATATCCTTGGTTGAATATATGTTATCACCTACAATTTGGGTGTTTTTCTCTAGAATTTTGGGTTGGATCAATCTCTGTTTAAAACATATTTTAATATTGTGTTTAAAAAAATCTTGCTGCACAGAATAAAGGATTTAAAATGTTAGATTGCTCAGACCTGTTTATACTGAAAAATTTTAGCACATGAATGTCAAATTCACAGCCACTAGACAACTGGGTTAGAACATCGTGCTACTGGTGGGATCCAAATCTGTGTGCTGATTAGTAATTGATAACCTGACATGTATCAATAAAGGAGTTGTTGCAATTGTCATGGAAAATAAAAGCAACTTTCACATGAGTGTAATAAAATAACTACCATATGGGTGTGGGATTTTTTTCTAAAATCTGAAGGCAATTGCTTTTAAAATCACAGTATGCCCTTTTTCAAAGTAGATGTTAATATGCCTGCAGTACAGTTACCTTGAATTTTATTGAGTGCAGAATCTGGCCCATTTATATTTTGAATAACTATATTCTCACCATAAAATCTTTTCTCTCTCTTGTAGTATTTAATCAGGGAGAAGAAGGTACTTCTTGGTACATTATCCTAAAGGGATCAGTAAACGTAGTCATTTATGGCAAGGTATTTTTTTCAGAAGCCATTTTACGTGATTCTTATTATTGAAATTATAATAGTAAACTTTGAAGGAATACAGTTTAATTTAGAGCAAAATTGCTTTGTCTGAGGAAACAAATGTAATTTTATTAAGAAATGATCCAGTGGTTTTACTGATTATACTTCCAGTTGATTGCTGTATAATTTTGGGATATATTACACACTTTCTGAATATAATTCAGGAGAGTTCCATCAGTATCTTTAGGACAAGGTCATTTGCTGGAATTCGGTGAATTGGCAGACTTCTGTCTCGTGGGGGTTTTTGCCCTATCCCTTTACCACCATATTCTCTTACAATTGTATGACTAACTTTTCTCATGCATGTCAGGCATGTATGACAGAAGTACTGCTTTGTGACTAGTGGTTCTCAGGTTGGATGAACCCCTCCCAAATTTATGCCAGCTCTTCATTTTAGTTAAGCTACAGCCTGAAAAGCATCTCTATTAAATTTTCTGTTTATGAGAAAGATTTTTCAAGGCAAAAAATAGGACTTTGGTACACAGAAATCCCTTGAGTCTTTAAAAATCCCTACTTCCCTATTGATTTCTCATTCAGTGACTGAGAATCCTCCATTCTGAACACCAAGCATTTCACCAAAATCTAGCATAGAGGCCCTGGTGCTAAGTCTGTTCCTAAGTAACGCATTTTTAGCTACATTTTTTACATCACTGGGTGGGCCAGATCCTCTGTTACTATAAATTGGAGTAAATGGAGCACTGCTGATTTACACCAGCTGAGGATGTGGTCCTATATGTTATTTCTGCAAACTTGATCTTATTTCTTAGGGCCTCTGTAAATAAAAAACAAACAACTCAACAACTTTCTGTCTTCAGCAGGGCTAGAAGAGTCCTTCAAGCTGAATGTAATTTCAGAGAACAAGCCAATTCTTTTCTATTCTTGCCTTTCTTTAGTAATAGTAATAAGCAGCTATCAAGTATTGTTTCCTAGTCATTATTTTGGCTGTTGATTTCCTGCCAAATAGATTTGTTTTGGTATTTGATTGTGAAGTCTGGTGTTTGTACAAGGACTTTCAATAGAATCCAGAGTAATGATGGGTTTCTGCATGTAAATGTTTTGCTCTGTGCAGGGTGTGGTATGTACTCTACATGAAGGAGATGATTTTGGCAAGTTAGCGCTTGTGAATGATGCTCCCAGAGCAGCATCCATTGTTCTGCGTGAAGACAACTGCCACTTCTTGAGAGTAGACAAGGAGGATTTCAACAGGATCCTTAGGGTAAGAGTGGGAATGGCTGCCCTGAGAGCATGATATCAAAACTTGCAGATTTTTCTAGAGTGTGTCTTATTTCTATGGATATACTGGTATTGATAACCTTGTTTGAAGTATCTCTAATTGCAGAACAGAGATGTGACAGTCTAGAAGAATATATTAATAACCTTTCCTCATTTTGTGTTCCTAACTCAGCCATGAAAATGGGACCAAATGGAATCTTTTGTCTCTCACATTTCTGTGGTCTAGAATTTGCCAAGTGCTTAGTTTTTCTGAGTGATCTTCCATCCAAATATTGAATAAAACAAGATCAGCCATTCTTCCAGATAGGTCAGTGTCAGGTACCTTAAACTCAATAGATTCAAGGCAGAATTAAGTGGCAAATTAAATAAGCTATGGGTAAATACACAGATGTCTTTATTAGAGAGCTCTAGAAAGATATTCCCAGACTCATTTTACAGTTATTCACGTTAAGGCAAATGTGTTCCAAAGTCCAGCTGTAATTCTGCAAATACAGGCCGATTTGTGATCATTCATAGTATAGGAAGTCAAAACCAGTATCATCCTGTGTTTGAACGTATACATGCCCAGTATTACAGCAATAAAACCAGTCCAGGCAGAGTACTGTGTTAGAAAAATGCCATTAAGATTGTGTTTACTGTACAAAAGGGAATGAGGATCCCATTGGCAGTAAGGTTGGGTTGGTTATGGAGACTCCCAACTGATTTAGCTTTGGTCGGTACTTCAAAGGAGATCGAAGTCAGTGGTCTTACTGATTTTCATCTGTGTTCTTTAAATGCACATATTTAATTCTTCTTTTTTTCTGTTTCTACTATGATCTGGTAGTAGAAAATGAAGAGTTTACCTGACAGTTTACTGAGCTAAGACTTACCATTTTTAAGTGCCATTTTCTTTTTTTTTTTAAAAAAAGAGAAAAGACAGATTATAGATAATAATGTTCATATATAAGTGGAGGTAGAGATTACATTATATATGGAAAGTTGAGGGGGGATGGACTTTGTTTTTTGGCAAACTTTTTTTTCCTTTGCCACAGCCAGAGATTTTTCACATGGTTCTTCCTCTAGTCCCTCCCACAATTCTTTGCCTCTTCCCTCAGTGCCAGTGCTTCCCTCTTGATTCTGCCTGTGAGAAAAGCAGAATAAAGATAGATAAATACAGGGGAAAAGAACCAACCCTGGAGTCTTTTGTGTTTGAAAGTCATGCACTTTTTCAGAGTAACTAATCAGCCAAATCGGGTGCAATTACTTTATAAAAAGTAACTTGTCTTGCAGGATGTGGAAGCAAATACAGTAAGACTTAAGGAACATGACCAAGATGTCTTGGTGTTGGAGAAGATCCCAGCAGGAAACAGAGTTTCTAATCAAGGAAATTCACAGCCTCAGCACAAGTATGTTTTCATTCAATAGTGCAAATGTCAGACAATGATTAACCTTTTCACATGGTATTATTATCCAAACAATAGCATATTCCCCCTTTCTATGGAAGAATGCAGTGCATGTAAAGTTTTCTCTTTTTTTAATCACCAGCAGATCACATGCCCCATACTGGATAATATATTCATTTCCAGCAGCACACCAGTTCTATGTCTTTACAGAATAATTTCCTAAAGATCTCACTGTAAATACTTATCTCATGTAATAGCTTCTAAATAGGCTGCACATGGAGAATGCTGAAACCCTATTAAACTGAGCTACTGTGTAAAAGACGTGAGAAAAATACATTGTTTTGTTGTTAAGTACAGATATTTTCATTCTGGATTTTGAGCTCTGGATTCTAATAAAAGAGTTTGCTAGGTACAATTTATATACAAAAGGAAGATCTCATGCAATGAAAGTCACACAGCTTATCTTACAGGTTTGCACTGTAATAACAATATTCATTATATTTTCTTTACTTTCTTATTGAAAGGGAAAAAGTACAATTCTGTTTGGATACTAGTGTGATAAGAGTAGAGTGAGGCTATTATCATTCCACACGTAGCATTTGCACTAGAGAAATGTTCTGCATCCCAGAGGTCTTTCCTGAGATATCCAGTCAACCAAGAAGCATATTTCTTCATCTTAGTCTTGGGGAAAACTTCACTTTGGGAGCACATCCTCTCAGTTGTAGTTTGGATTCTACTCCCTCCTCTACTGAGAAGACGTAGCTCCTACATAGCTCCCCGAGCCATGCTTTCAAACAGTGACAGTTTCGCTTCGAAGGACTAGCTCTGAAGTTCTCAGTCTCAAGATCTAACTCTTTATGGGTGATCAGACTCATGCAGGATGAATTCAGCAGCCCTGCAAGTCACTTCACTGTTCATTTTCACTTTCATATTCAGAGTACAGCAACCTGTGATTTCTGTGCTTCACTCACTTAGATACTTGGTTAGTATCTCTGCGAGAATGTGCACTGGCTTAACAAGTGTTTGTGTTCTTGGGACATCAATACAGTTCTTCCAAAGCGGTTGGCAGGTAAAAGAACTGTGACGGTCAGCGCTCAAAGTGAGGAGGAGCTCCCAGGAGCTCAGCTCCACCACTTATTTCTCAGCAGGAGCAGAGTATCTTCACTTCTCGGGGTTTTTTCTTTCTTTTTTTTTAAAGTTTCATACTTTATCAGGTGGATTCCAAAAAAAGAAAAAAAAAGATGCAAAGATTGAAAGAATGGAGGGAAAGATAAAAAAATCTGATCTGCAAGGAAAGAGAAAAAAAAAGATGACAGGGACAAGTTTAACAATATCCTATGATATTCTGCTGGTACTTAAAATCTTGCCAGTGTTTTTGCATGAAGCAGAAAAACCTATTGCACTACTTCTCTCACCTCCTCAAATTTACAGCAGGAAACGGTACAATCCTAAGTTTATCCACTTGAAAAACTTACTTCAGCTATTAAGGCATTACACAAATTTGAAGATACAGCATGCCATTTCATTATCTGTCCCCATCTTCTCAGACTGACCCATCAGTGATGCTCAAGGAAATAGTTTCCTTGTTCTGATACTGATACACACCAGTTCTCATTTCATGCTCATACCAAGTCTGTTAAGACCCTCTAACAAATGCAAATTTTTATCATTACTGAGATATTTATTCTCAGTGAAGGAACATTTCTGTTTACACTTCCCCAGGTTTGCAGCAGTGCAGCTCTGCTGATTGCTGTGTCACTGTCGTGGTATTATACTGGAGTACTTGTGCGGGGAGAGGGCCATCTGTCATCACACACTCCCTGGTTATGGTGGAGAGTGTTATTGCTCCGATTTTACAGGGGAGAAGCGAACAAAGATTGTGAGTGGTTTTGTCCTAAGCCACACAGAGATTATAGTCAGAGCAGGTATTTGTACTCTGGCATTCGTCAGTCCTGATCTTCTCACTGGTACACAACTCTTTGTTGATTAGCTGCTTTGCCTATGAGACGCTAACTGCTCCTTTCCTTCCCGCAGGTATATTGTGATGTCAGGAACCCCAGAGAAAATTTTAGAGCACTTTCTAGAAACTATGCGCCTTGAAACAACCTTAAATGAAGCAACAGGTATCTACATGACAAAGGCTGTGTTACTGGTACTGCCTAAGATGGTCTTGCTGGGAGAATGCTGCAATGTGATGCTTTGAAAAGCAGCTAGTGGTACTTTTCCCCAGAATAAGAACTATCCACTGCTCTGAAACAACCCTGAGAAAACCTAGGAAATCCAGAATTAAAGATAACAATCCATTCCTCCTAGCCTGCTCTATTGTATTTGTACTTTCGGTTCAGAGTAGAACAGCAAAATCTCAAAAGGTGCCAGACCATTAGGCATGACTTTAATTAGGCACAGCTATAAGGCCAGGGCAGAGTATGCATTACCACCCGATGATAATGGTACTCATACTTCTTGTTCTGGATGTCACTTAATACTGTGAACTAGCTTGATACCTCCAGCCATTGTGTTATGCTAGTATAAGTATTCCCAAATTTTCATATCCATATCACATTTAAAGTATCACAATTTATATTACTTGTTTGTGATACGTTCCCACGTGCAGGAAAAGAAGATTTGTTACTGAAAAGAGAAGAACTCAGCACACCATGGGCCAGGTCCCAAGAATGCAGGTTGCTGCAGCTGCACTTAATAGGCTGCTATTCTTTAGTGTAAAGAGAACGGACAATTTACATCTAGGGATACAGATATTTGCTGACTTACTATTAGTAAGTATTTTAATTTTTAAAAAGAGTCAGGTACAAAAAAGTCCTCCTAATTATGATAAAGTAATTCAGAGAGTTTTATATTAAGCTACATAATATCTCTTTAGCAAATTCTTTTTACATTGCAGATGTCTAAGAAGTATATATTCAAAGGTGTTCTTAAATCCAGGTAACTTGTTACTGACCTCATAGTATTGGAGAAACCTGTATAGTGGTCCATAAATGGTGGAAGAATTGAAAGATTACAGAAATCCTTTTACAGTGTGTGTTTTAACCACTTTTAAGAATAAAAATGATCCTTTTCATAGATACTCATTAGATAATCATTAGGATTACAAGCTTTCAGGTATATAACCACAAATTTACTATTCATAGTATGCATGTATTATGTATTTTTCTAAACCAAATTATTTTTTAAATTTTTTAAAACTTTTCCCCAAAACATCCAATGAGAAGATTATACCTATATCCTAACGGAGTACAAAATGTCACAATTCACAAACAAAGCCATTTTTAGGATATAGAAGCTCAGAGTGCCGGAAAATAGAATTTTTAGTTTATGCATTCCTTTAAGAACAGTTAAATTCCACTTTGCTCTGGATATTACGCAAAGAAAAAGTCCTACCCTTCTGGAGGTGAGTTTTGTCAACTGAGAGATTTTCATATATGAATTACAGTGAAAGCAATGATCTAATATTATAATACACAGTTACCTCACTATATTTTTTCTGACATCCCTTACTTACAGGGTTTTAAAATGTTTCTCTTATCTCAAAAGTTGCACTGTAGAAATGATACCCTAGGGTATTGAGTTTATTGTTTCTTAGTGATTCCATATGACACTTGTGTAGTTTAAAAGTAAAATAAAGTTTATTCTCACTGCCAAACTTATTCTGGCCTCTGCAGCAAGACTTTATAAATCCTTCTTGTTGTCACCAATACAAAGATAAGGCAAACTTGGATTTACAGCAGCGCTTCTACAGATCATTTTAACAGAAAAAAATAGCTTGCTATTTTTTGCCAGAGAAAATGTCAGTCTTATTGTTTATATAATTTTTAATGTAAATGTAGCAGCTGTGATACTTTTGAATCAAAATAAAACCAGAAATTTGACTGTCCATTCACCTCTTTTAGGCCTTCTGCTCATTGTTAGGAAATCAGCAAATAATTAATTTGCCTTCTGTGTAGCATATACTAAATGCATTGTCTGGTATTGTAGTTCCCTAAATCCAAGTGCAGCAGCACTTCTTAGGTACCCACATGTGGCAGGCCTGATTCTTCTTATGCTAAGATCTCTACACTTGTAGAGAAGTGTATCCAAATTTTTCACTTTAGCACAGATGTTTGGGTTTTTTTTGCTGTGCCAAATTTCCCTTTGACACAGGCAAATGCCTGTTAACGTAAGTGCAATAAAATTCATGCAGACAAGAATAAAAGCTTAATATTTCAGGTCATATTTGTTCATTCCCCATTTTCATACTTAATGCCTACAAACAAAGTACAAAAAGACTCCTTTGTTATCTGCAGAGGGCTAATAAGATATTTTAGCTGAAAGAAAACTCATCTTTGTGATCCCAAAGCTCTTTGCAGGGGCTTAATTGACTGTTTTCTATCTTCTTTTTTCACAGATTCTGTTCTAAACGATTTTATTATGATGCACTGTGTTTTTATGCCAAATAGTCAGCTCTGCCCAGCCTTGATGGCACAATATCCTTTTGTAAGGGAAAAGTTACATCCCTTTAACAGCTATCCTTATTGATGATGAAACTGAAGCTTCTCTCTCTCAAGAAGTACATCATGTTTCATGGAGGCTGTGCCTTGTGGGTAAGTTCTCAGTGTCTGACTAACAGGTGTCCATAGCTCAACAACTCTGAAATGGGTAATGTATACCCATGATGAGATACAGTCCTGGAGCATGAAAACTGTGTCTTTCCTGTGATGGTTACTATTCCAAGGGAAAGAAATGTACTGTCCCTCCACCAGAGAAATGAAATTCCCTAAAGGTTTGGATTACCCTTTCTGTCCTTCTTGCATCTAGATTTTAACTAAGATCATTATGTTTTGGTGATTTCAGTGGCCCACTTTATAGATTACAAGCTGCAAACTGCCTCAAGCAAAAGGGTGCCTAAACTAGTAGAATGAGTAAGTGTTGTCCTAGGTGTTGTCATAACAGTTATGAATAAAAGTAATAATAATCTACAATAATAGTGTATAGCAAATGTTAACAAACTGCAAGAAACTTAAATTGCATGCAAATACCTAGGAGATGAAAGCTTACAGCGGATAGCATTGAGAGCTGGAGGTGAGTCTCATACTGTCTGCATGTTTTGCAGAAGGAGTCTGTGAAATGTCCATCCGTCAGTTACTGGTGGGCCATTTAGTTTGGGGAGCTGTTGGGCACTGAGAGTTTTCCTTGTGCACAGTGACTTGAAGCTATGAAGTGACTAGGAGCGTCAAATAAACATATAATGTTTTCTGTTTTATAGAATTCTGACAGGGGTATAGTAACTTCAATTCCCTATTTATTTTTTTAGAATCAGATTGGTGTGAAAGTGTGCTTTCCTTGAAGCTCAGCGGGGCGAGTGACATCTGGGAAAGCTAACACCCTGAAACCACAAAATAGAGCATCGTGTCCTTGTCTGGCAAGCTTGAGAATCCATTTGTGCTACTCCTAGCAAGGACAGTAATTGTTTTGAAAACCTTTGGACCCATAAAACTGGTCTGCAGAAAATTGTTCGTACACCTGAAACAAACACATTTTCCAAAACCACATAGTTTTGGATATCAAAAGTATTATGAAATGCTATTGCTGACAGCTTTGAGAGGGGAAGAAAAGGGCAGCACTTTTTATGTTCGGTGAGGTTTTTTTTCTGATTTATCTAGCTCATATTATTCAGCCAGTCCATTTGCGACTCAGGCTTGTCTATCCTCAGTTATAATACTATTCCTCTGATACCCAATAATTGAGAAAATCCGATGCATAGGCAAAATGTACCTTGTTGTTTATAGGAGAAAAGCTTTTCTGAAGATCAAAGTGATAGTGTCACTTACGTGTATGTATTCACTTGTGATGAAATTTGTTCTGGATAGGAGGCTAAGACCATGGTCTTAAGTGGGTCATGGCAGGCATCGTGCTAATTCTTTTCAGAGAGGAGGAGGAGGGCTGGAAGTAACTGGTATCCCACTGCTTTAGTGTCAGCTTTTCCTAGAGCTGAATTATTGTTTATTTGGTCCATTCTGAACATGGAAAATCAAACTGTGCTCTGTTGATTGTGCCACTGAAATTTATTGTTAGAGTTGAAAGGTTGCTAACAAAGCTCATCTTTTTTGAGCAAAATCACTCTACAAAAATGTTTGCTGCTGCTGTGAGACTAAGGAGAGATTAGTTATGCTCAGTGAGGAAATTAAAACAGAAAAAGAAAAAGAAGAAAGGTGATTCAGTCAGAGACACTAGTTTTGCTCCAGCTGCCATTTTTGAATCAATACAAGTCTATTTTCCTACACCCACTTAAGATATTATTTTAGCTGGCAGCATGCACCTATGAGTAGAGCTAGACCACTGTAGTGCTTTCGAGCATAGTACAGGGTATAAATTATTTGGGTTTTCACTTCTTTTACAGCAGCGTTTTGTCATCTGTAAGTTCTTTAATCCTGAAAGGAATGGACTGGTGCACCGTTTTAGCTAAGTAACATTATTGCTTACTGCGGATTCAGTGCTTATACCGTGCTGTCCCTTGGCACACCACTCTTTTTTAGTCATCAAAGTATATGGATCCTGCAATATTTTTAAAAATCGCATACTTCTTTTTTCTAGGGAAGCAAAGGGCATGCTCCCCTTCCTGGATCCGAACATCAGTTCTGTGTGTTGGACCAAAACCCCTGTTTCCCTCTCTTCTTCACAGAGATGGAAATGGACAAATTCTCAAGAGTTACAGCTTGTCAAAGGGAGGCAGGGCAAAACCCAAAAGAAAACTTGAAATAGTAGCACCTCCAAAAGTGCACTTGGGATAGTACAAGTGTGTCAGAATGTGTGCAGGTGTGTAAGCGTGTGTAAGCATGTGTGCAGGTGTGCATCTTTAAAGGACCACTGTCTAAATACTTAGGAAGTAGAAATTGCTCTTTTGCTCTCTGTAGATGATAGTCCTTTAGCAGGTTTCTGTATGAATGTTTTGTGAACCTCCTTTACCACCATGCCAGCAAAATAGTTTTCATTCTACTGTAGTAACAGGTGCTGATTTTGCACAGCTCCTGATATGGTTAAGTGTTCCCACGCAGGGAAGAACAGACTTACGAATTGCTTCCATTTCCTAGCATATGCTAGACATAATTAGAAATATATATATTGAACTCTAACCATGTTGATGTTGATAAATATTCTACAATTATCTGACACTTGTTGCAACTATATGTGATATTTTACTTCTGATTGCAGTCTGCAGTGAAGCTGCATCCTGTAGGTCCCATAAAAATGGGAGAACACTAACTTTCCCTGTGATAGTATTAATAAAAGAGCAATTAGTATAAATGAGCAGTAAAAATACAGAAAAATTACCAGTGCCTCTGGTGAGTCAGTTAATAAGAAAGTAAAAATATATTAAATAATTACAATGTTTGAAAGGTAAAAATGGCATGAGAAAAATGACTCTGTAGAATATTAAACTTGCTCCCTGAGACATTAGGGCACATAGCTTACAATATATTATTTACTTCTTATGACCCTTTGACTTACTCCCTTAAATGTACTGACATGTTTAGTTCTCTAGTCATTTTAAACCTTTCAGAATGAAATTAAAATGCAGATTTCTAAAAGTTTGTCAGTCAAATGAGTGCCCCAGTAACCCTGGTAGTATGTCAAATCTCTGCAGGGATTTTGGGCAGGAGAATCATTTGGAAAGTGTGAGTTAATAGATACTTTTTGCCATTATATTTTATTAGTATTTGTTAGAGAAATGCTTCTAAATCAGAAGCTTAAAATAAATATATTAGATAATTTTGGTTTCTAATTAATATTTTAATTTTCTAATTAATATTTTAAAATCTTTTGTTAGAGCAACTGAAAGTGCACCTTGAAGGGATGCTGGACTTCACTGTGAGCGGAAGAATGTCAGTATTTTAATATTAAACATTGCTATATAATTGGGAATAGTATTATTCATGACAATCCAGAATCCGAATTTTGGTATCCGGGAAGAAAAGTTGAAGATGTAACTGCACTCATTCTGTGCTTACTTCACATTCAGCCATCAGTTTATTGGGAGACAGTTTAAATATCTATTGTTAACCTTTGATCGGTGAGAAGTAGGCACACAAATTGTCATATCCTGTTTCTACTGGGGATTCTTCTTCATTTTCACATAGATTAAAGGCTGAAATTATCTCAGTTTGTTGCCCATTGTGCCTTTACTTTTTTCGTGGTTTCTTCCTTTCAATAAATGTTACTTTTGGCCTTTTTGCTATTTGCATATTTTTGTAATGTTGACACTTCATCATGAAAAAGGTCAATGAAATATTTCCCGTTTTTTCTTATTGTTTATCACTGAATAACTATCACAAAATATTGTGTCCCAAATACACTTTATTTGATAGAGTGGAAACCTCTGATTTCCTCATACGTAAAATGAGGCTACTACAGAATTTATTATTTTATGCCATGTCTCTAGAGTCAGTCCAGGCTTTAAACTTCCAGGTCTCCCTACCATAATGGGACTGAGGCTCACCTTGGGTTACAGTAACTTCTAAAAATAAAAGAAATAAAACTGGTGGTTCATTACAGTAGTCTTCCTCACAAATGGAAGACTGGAATTGCTAATAAACACAAAGTGACATTTTTCTTTTTCTTCAACTGTCTCCAAAGAAGAACAAAGAGAAATATCCTTCTTCAGTCTCTATGGTTAATCGTCTTCTCTGTTGTTCCAAGTGTCATTTCTGTTCTGCTCCCCTACAGCAACCATCTCTGTGGTGGGACTGTGATCATTCCTGTGCTCTTTAGAGAATTCACTGTCTTTTTACTTTTTAGTATGAACGTGAAAGGTTTGCAAGTCTTTATGCTAGCGGCAGTCAGAAATCAAAAGTATATATTGGAAAGTTATGTCTGAACACCCTGAAAATGGTTTGTTGGAAGTCAGTTGTTTGTGAATTCATACTGGGTTTGGTATTTTCGATCACTGAGTGTTTTCCTTGACACCACGGCACCTATCATGCCCAGCCTTCCCAGGGTACAGAGCAGGAGAAAATGGATTATGCCCTCAACAATAAAAGACGAGTCATTCGACTGGTTCTGCAGTGGGCTGCTTTATATGGAGATTTACTACAAGAAGATGAAGCAGCAATGGCCTTTTTGGAGGTATAAAAGAATTGTTGTATCATTGTACTGAGAATTACCTACCAAGCAAAATAAGCTGAAAGCCTGTTCCCGGTCTGTAGAATTCTGTTATGAAGTAAAGAGAAGTAGACCATTTCAAAGTGCAAACTCATAACTCTGTTTTCTCGGTTTTAGCGGCCGGCAGTATACGCATTACAACAGTGCTTGAACCATTGTCAACCTCTGGAGCTCTGAAAATAGCTGCCGGAGTTGCAGACCTCTTTCAAAGCACTGCATGAGTAGATTGCTTTATAGCAATAGATGAATTTGCCTTTTTTAGTGTTTACTTGTGAATATAGTTCAGAGGCTGTACAGGTTGAACTGGGGGGCTGTTTATGCCTGCCTGAGGAAGGAACTTGAGGGGTTCTCAGTCTACAAAACCAAAAATCTTTTCCATTTGAATGAAAGCTGTACTGCAGCTATTGGAACTTAAGATCTTGTCTTCAGAACCCTTCTGATCCCTTAAAATCATTTAATTCCTCAGATATTGGTTGTGAGGTCTTTGTGGTAGGTGCTATATCCTTGTATTTCTAAGACAAGATGCACTGCCAATGTCATGTTAAGTCATCATGATTGCCATTATTATTATATATTGTGTTTATGGAACACAATCCCATAGGTTACTGAATGGAAGTTCTTGCCCTAAAGAGCTTAAAACTGAGTCTAAGAGTTAGCAGAGGGGAATAGAGAGGGGCCTTAAGTATGACAGACATACAGCAAACCCACATGGGAAAGCTTTTCATAATAGACAGGCTTTGGAGACAGACATAATGTCTTTTATTCCAGAAGTTAAAGAACAATTACTAGTTGCAAGCACATAGATCCTTCTTTGAGTCAGTTTTATGTAGGTATGGCAGGAGAGGTTTGAGTACAGTTTGAAAGAGGGTAATATTGTAGCGGACTGGAGTAGCTGAGAGTCAACAACTTGGTAGCAAATGAACCACTAAGGACTACAACAGCAATGGATAAATAAAACCTATCATGCCAGAATATTTGTGAAGTTTATAGTCTTTATCCTTGATAATCTGAAAATGCAGTTTTTGCACAAGCAGTCAGTGGTTACACAGTGAGCTAAGGAGCCTCGTCAGGCTTCACTTCTGCATATGTAACTCTTGCTTTAAATCAGCTGGAGATAAACAAGTAGAAATAATAGAGGGTTGGGCCCAGCATGTGTTCCTCTATGCAGATTATCATTCTTTATAATCATTAAGCTATCAAATGTCATCTCATAATTCTCTATCCTCAGTACTGATCATTTACCCCTATAGTTATTTAAAGACTATTCTGTATCATTTACAGGAATTTTATGTATCTGTATCAGATGATACTAGAATGATTGCAGCACTAAAGGAGCAGCTTCCAGAGCTAGAGAAAATTGTAAAGCAAGTGTAAGCACACTTTTTGCTTCTTTCCTCCCCCTGCCCTTTTTCTCAGTAAATAGATGAAGAAAAATTGTTGCTTATATCTATTAAAAAATCCATTCTATGAATGGCACTCAGTCATATAAGACTGAATGTTTGCATGCAAGGTTGTGTGGATGAATGTCTATGGCCTTCTCTTTCCACATTATTCTTGCAAACACCAAACTCTCATTAAAAGGTTGATGGAAGGAATAAGGAATTATGTACACACCATTGAAACTAAACTGGGTGCTTACTTCATGCTTACATAGACTTTGTATAGTATTTTCCCTGCCATAACTATGGTATCATCTAGTCTTTTCATAAATGCAAGCATGAATATGTTGATATTGTAGTTTGACAAGTGGTCCCTTTTCCATAGGTGATTTTGTACACAAAACCCTGCAGGTAATATTTAATTATATATTCTATGATTTACCTTCTTACAGTTCTGAAGAACCTAAAGCACCACAAAAGAAGGTAAGATAATTTATTTGTCCATTTTCTAAAGTACAAGCTTTAGCACAGCAAATCCATAAGCATCTTCTCTTCAGTAATCATGGATATATTAAAACAACACGTTGAGAAATAACTTTTAAGTGTCAAATTTTGCATTGCTACTCCTTTTCTTGCCATTGATAAGAGATCTATTGTAGTTCATGTTTACCCCATAATGTTTCTTTTTGTATTAATGTGAATCCTGATGATTCATTTTCAGCACAAAGTTCTGCTGCAGCTCTTCAGCACAAGTGATGACAGAGCACAGAAACGCCAGGCTATCAGGGGCAGCGACGAAGGTGAGTTCCTTCTCTGCACGGTTTTCTTGAGCCACTGAGATTTGTAGTAAATTTGTCTCTCAAAAAAAATGGTCTAAAAATAAACAAAAATACCTACCTACAGTTTTGAAGCCTAGCCTGAAGCAAACTCTGTTTGCTGTTGCCAGCCCAATGTTCTCCATCATTGATTTGAAGTGCTCCTGGTCTTCTCCCTTAGTTACTTGTGCTATCAAACACTGTGCTTCCTCAGAGGAAGATGTAAAAACCTTTAAAATAGGGAATGAACAAAACAAGTAAGAACCAGCCAGTACAGGCACTGTCCATGCAGGTAATGGCAGTGCAATAAATAGTGGGTGCTGAAGGTCATGTTTGAGCCTCTGTCTCCCCTACGTAGTTTGAGCTAACATGTACAGCTGTTTCTTTGCAAGATAGAAGTGGAGCAGATAATCATGCCGTGGATCTCTGCCCTGTGGCACACAGCCTGGAGAACAAAATCTGCTGGTTTGCCCTATTGCTGTTTTTTGATTCTCTGAAGAGATTAAGGTAAAATTTACAGCAGCGTATCAGAATATCATTTTCAGTTGTACTGGCTTCTCATATTGTCCTTACTTCGGGCAGGTTAAAGCACTGCTATGTGAACAAAATCCTGAGCTCTGCTGATGAGATTTGTTCATTTGTCAAGGCTGAAGGCTGGGCTAGCTGTAAAAGCGGCAGCGGAGGCTCTCTGTTAACCCCTCCCGGCCCCTGGGAGGTGAAAGGATGGAGAAAAG